AGGGATCCCAAACACAGTCACACATCCAGTCTGCCCTAGGGATGAGGCCAGGAGCCAGCATCAGTGTCACCTTCCAGCTCCTATCCCTCCAGCCTGTCTCGCTGCCTCCCTCCCCACAGCCCTTCTTTCCCGGCCCATGGGCAAAGCAAGAGTCCTGGAGATCAGCTTCCACCTGGCATGGCCCTTGGTCTGTCACCACTTCCCTGGCAGCCCAGCATCTCCACAGAGTCACCCCCCGCCCCCATCATGTCTGCCTGCCCACAGCTCAGCTCTGCAGTCCTCAGACCAGCCCCAGCCAGGGCCGGGAGTCAGTCCATCCTGTTGGCGCCTGAATCCCACATCCCCCTGTTACAATAAAGATCCCAGCGGGAGCCTGGATCTCACGGAGGAGGAGAACAAGCTGAAGGACGAAGTACTTGCTGCCGGGCGTCTACCCTGGCACTCTGCGCCTCTTTCAGAGGACTCGCGTGCACACACTCGCACACATGCTCACACTCACATACACGCAATCAAACACACTGATACTCATTCACACTCGCAAACTCACACAATCCCACACTCGCAAAATACGCTCCCATGCGCACCCACACTGGTGCTTACAGACACGTTCACTGTCTCGCAGGCACACACGCTCACACTCACATGTGCTCACACATATCCTCACACTCGCATGCACCTGCATACCCATGTGCTCACACCTGTTCACATGCTCACTAACATCCTCACATTCACACACATCTCCGCACACTCACAAAGACACACATGCTCACGTGCATATTTACTCACATCTGCACACATTCGTGCACCCACACGCATAGGGTGTGTTCCAGCCCTGCCCGCTCTCAGGTGGCTTGCTTGCTCTCAAGCTGCAGGCAGCTGCCAATACCATGCCATGTCGGGAGAATGTGAGGGACAGATTCACACTCAGGGGGCGCTGATGTGGTCCTCACCTTTCAGGGGAGCGTCCGGAACACCCAGCGCACAGGCTGACGATAGAAGGACGGCACTGCAGGCTGCCCGAGGAGCAGGTAGGAGAGCTGGAGGCAGGGAGGAGCATCGCCTCTCTTGCCTGGACATGGGTCCTTTCCTGAGCATGCCCAAGCCAATCCCGATTTTCCCAGGTCCTCTTAATAATTTTTCTGTAAGCTGCCTTTTGTGGAAGAATCACAGTGTGCCCAGAACCTTGCCAGGGACTCCACCATGCACCCTCCAGCAATCCAAGGTGGGTGTTGTTCTATATCCACCACCCCCCGCCCCACCAGATGCCATGGAGAATCAGACCCAAGCGGCTATGGTTATGAATGCAGGGCAGAGCCAGGGGGGTTCAAACCCACCCTGTGGCTCAGCTCACAGTCTGAGAGGCTCCGAGGTTTCCGCATCAGCTGGCTGCCTGCCCTCCCTGTAGTCTCAGTGTCACTCACCACGTCCCCCACACAGACTCCTCCAGCCCATGCTGGCAGAAACAGAGGTCAGATCCACATCCTCTGTCCATCATACCCCCACTCGTGGTCCCCAATGCCCCCCACCACAACCACGGGCCCAGCCAGACTCCAGGGCAGGGAAGGAGGTGCCCACTGGTTTTGGCAGCATCAAGATCTCCAGGAGCTCATTCAAGAAAAACTCAGGCAAGGACACACAGCTGGTGAGATGTGCCTTTTCATTTTAAAGGAGACAGTGCTTCTCGGATCTCGCCTGTGCCGCGCGGGTCATACAAAGTGATAGTAAATAACTAAATAAATAAAATAAAATAAAATTCTAATACTCAGTGCTTGTGAGCATATGATGAAATGGGACATTTTCACTACCTTAAATGAGATTCCCACGTAGAGTGCTCAGGAGGGACCCTGCACATTGGAAGAGCTCAGTCAATCTCAATAAATACTTAGTGATTGAATAACCACACTCTTACATCTGTTAATTCTCTAGTTCCTCCTTTTGACAAGTGGGGAAGCCTGGGGCTATTAGGTGACTTGCTCAAGTCACACAGTTGGTAATGTAGGAGTCAGAATTAGGAATGTTTTCTCCTCCTCCTCTCTTCCTGGGAGACTTGTTCTTGCTCTCTCAGAACACCAGCATGGGACACACCTGGGCACTCCCATACCACCCACTCCTATGAGGCCCCACCTGCCCACCCATCCAGCAGCCCCTGCCCACAAGGCCTGCCTAGCTTAGCTGCAACCTCAGCACTCTGGGACCCCAGCTCAGATCCCCCGGCCTCCAGATATCTTCTCCTCTAAGAGGTGAACCGTAGGACAGGAGGGAAAGGTCCACCTTGAGATGGTCCCACAGGGTGGCTCTTGGGAAAGAAGCTATGGGAAGGCAGCCCAGGGTGTTGTCCAGGCAGGAGCTGGGGTGGGGGCTGTCAGGACATCCTCACTATAAGAACAAAAGGCCCTGACCTGGGGTGCCAGCAAAGGTGCTCAGGCCACAACCACCCAGCAAGGACCTCACAGGCAGGAGTCTCAGACACTGGAGAGGGGGGCCCACTCTGATCACACTAAAGGCCATAATGAACATGGGCTACTCCCTTCACATTCTCCCCGATGGACACACCAAGATAGGTCCCACCGACCTCCCCTAGAGCCCACCCCTTCCCTTATTCTCCACCCAATGAGCTTACAGAGGCAGAGTCCATGATCCAGATCTAAGCCAATCAGCATACTACATCCCTGACCACAGTGATTGGTTCAGGATGGACACATGACCTAAACAGATCCAATCAGAACACAGCTCAGGACTTTCCTTGGGAACACTGAAACAAGGACTCTAGCACCAGATTTCAATCTGGAGCCCCAGATTGGCACCCATTTGGGGGCCAGAAAGAGTGTTCTCCAGACTGGAACACCACCAAGAAACAATTAAAAGCTTAGGCTGGGAAGCTGAGTCCTGATCACGTGCTTGAGTGTAGATCAGGCTTTGCCTGAAGCTGGACTGTGTAGTACAAGAGACTAAAAAATCCTGTGTTTTGCTTAAGCAAGTTTAGGTTGGGTTTTCTATTACTTAAAACCAAGAGAATCCTAAACGATCCACGGCAGAGCTGTCCAAATACACACCCAAGATGAGAGTTTGGCCCTCCTACCGCTGATGTCAAAGGGTACCTTTTTATCCCAGACGGGTCTGCCTGTCCCTCCCCTCTGAGGCCCCAGACCCATTGGCTGGCAGTCTGCTGGCCCAGGACCTCTGCTCCTGACACATGCACACCCTGAACACAGGCACACGGATGCCACACACAGTACTGGGTGGACTTTTATTTTAAAGTCAAAGGCACAGCCTGGATGGGCTTAGGCAGTGAGGGTGGATGCCCAGCCCAGACCCCCAAGGCCCCACCCCCCAGCCAGGAGCAGCTATGCCAAAGGGAGGAAGTGGGTGAGAAGGGGACCTCTCCTTTTAGGGGGCTGCCTACCTCCTTCCTTAGCCCCAATAGGGGAGAAGCAAGTGTCATAAAGTGAGGAAGAAATGCTTTGGGAGTCCCCCAGAGCCTCTCCCTCAATCCCCCAACACAGGTCTTTGGTGGACATAATTGCACAGACAGTCCATAAAGTGACAGCTGGAGGGGTACCCCCCCCAGGAGCAGGGCCTCAGAGGAGAACAGGGGAGGGGCCTCAGTTTCTCCCCTGTGGCAACTCAGTGCTTAGAAATGGGGGAGGAGACCTTCCCTGTTGGAGCAGTCCCCTGAGAGGGGCCTTCTGCCCAGATGAGGCAGTGTTTGCGAGAGGGGCCCCCCACACCCCACTCCCCAGCAGGCTCCCTCCTTCCCTGCATCTCTAACTCTATCCGGGAAGACATAAAAAATTATCTGCTTATAAAAATACTTCTGTCGGGGAGGAGCGGGTAGGGGATGGAAAACCCTGGGGATCAGACCGGAGCTTCTGGCAGAGGCCCAGAGGCAGAGAGCTGGGCACCCAGGTCACAACCCCTATGGGGACGGGGGTGGTCACAGTGGCGGGGGCTAGGAGGGGGGCAGCGGGCCGTTGGCTCGGCGGGGGGCCCCCTTGGCG